TTTGGAGGTCAGAGGACAAATTTCCATCACGTAGATCCTGATGATCAAACTCAGATCTTCAGGCATGTCAGGAAGTGTGCTTTTATCCACTAAGCCATCTCTTCAGCCTGAGGCTTTCTATCTTTATTCTGTAATGAATCCTGATAAATTCCAGTATTTTTAGCTCACATAACCAGCTATTTCCTACAATTCTGATTGGCTTCAGCTTCCTAATTCTTGCTTCCCTCCCCACAACATCTATACTTAAAAATTTGGGGGAACTAAAAATGGTGATGCATACTCTTCCACACTGTAAGTCTAGAACTTGAAAAACTGAGGCAGGAAGACTGCTGAGTTTGAGACTAGCCTGAACTACACAGTAAACACTTATCTCAAAAAATCGTGTGTGTGTGTGTGTGTGTGTGTGTGTGTGTGTGTGTATTTTGGAGGTACTACACCAGGGATCCTCCTAATGTCCAATTCCCAACTGTGTTTGTGAGTTAGAATTTTTTAGTCACAGATAGTTCTGTTGCGTATATACTATTTCTCCTAAAATGATTTTTCCTTCCATTTTTGTATTTTTTCGATTTTTTTTTCACATCTGAGTAAACTGAATTTGCTTGAGTTCTCCCTTAACTCTTTCCATACCCCTTACCTCCTCTTGAATTAATGACCTTGTACACACACACACACACACACACACGCACACACACATACACACAAACAAAACCTACTATATTCAATTAATGTTGCCTGAATGTGCATGCGTTTAGGGTTGGCTACTTAGGGTGTAGGGGCTCTTTCCTGAAGAAAACTTGTTCCCCTTCCCTTAGTAGCCATTGGCTCCCTGTAGTTCTTCATCTAGGGATAGGGCCTTATGAAATTTTGCCCCATGCATGTTGCCATGTCAACTGATGTGGTCTTTGCCGGTCTTGTTTAGGCAACCATACTGCTGAGAATTCATGATGTAACACTCCCATCATGCTCAGAAGGCACTATCTCACAACAGTTGCCCCATCCTCAGGCTTACGATCTTTCTGTCCTCTTCCATGATTCCATGATGTTCCCCAGGCCTTAGGTGTAAGGGTTCTGTGATCAATATTCATCAGGTTTCCATGGATCACATCTTCTTTCCTTGAGGTGTGTGATGTTCACTGACTTCCCAGCCAAGCTGATGTTATGAATGAATGGAAAATGTCCATTCTTTTCTAAGATTGCAAGTTGCCAAGATGGGAGTGATCTCTCCCTGTGTCCTTCCTTCTTTTCCTCACTCCTTTCCCATTCTCTGGATCACCAAGCAATGATTCTAGATGCATTTTCACAATTCTGGACCTTAGAAGAGACTTCTGTCATGTTCATTCTCTGATATTACTACTTATGACTTGGAAAATTTAACCAAGTACGGTTTTCCACCATAAAAGTACTATAAATTGCAAGATCAAGTTTCATGTTTTTAAAGTGTATTTTTTGGTTGCTTTCAGATGTGCTAATGCACAGGGAGAGTATACGAGGCAAAAATAACATTTTTTAGTTTTGTCTGTGTCCAGTGGAAGCACTTGCCCTATCAAACCTCACCAAAAATTACAGAGCCGGGCTTGATATTTTAATGGACCTCACACTTGTTAAGTGTACTGTAAAAAATAGTATGCAAATGTGTGTATACACATGTGTATATGTACAGTCGTGTACACATAAGTACATGCTATAGATATTATTCACATGTACATGTGAGTGTATGTTGTATTGTTTCGGTGTATATGTGCTCATGTATACATACATATGCTCTGTGTGTATATGTTATTCCTATCCCTGTGTGTCACCCAAAGTCCTTGGAGTCATCATGGCCATCATGGCAATTGTCGTGGTGATTCTGGGATAGCAGGCAAAGGAACTTTGTTAGTATGCTGATTGAAAGAATAAATATTTGAGAGGCTGAGACAAATTCAGAAGCCATCCAGGAAAAATCAAATATGTTATTGTTTTTGTTATTGTTGTTTTGAGAGAGGGTCTCCCTATAGCCTCAATTGGTCTGGAATGCAATATGTAGACCAGGCTGGCCTTAGTTTTATGGAGATTTGTCTGCCTCTGTCCCTTGAGTGCTGGGATTAAATGCATGTGGCACCATACCCTGCTTAAGGACATGGTTTTGACTAAGAAAATCTTATGGGGTTTTCCAAAGAATGAGCCTGGAGTGGGTAATGGAAATGGGCTGTCTTTGCCATTTTTGTAGGAATTAGACAAAGCACTTTGTAGATACCAATGATATAGAGCCCTCAAACCTCACATCAGATGATACAAAGTAGGACTGGTAGTCTTCTCAGAAGTTCTCCCTTATCATGGGTTGATAGAAGGTGATGGAAATGGCACTGATGAGTTGTTAGTAATTCATTTAAGCTTCAGGGATGGCCAACCAGTGAGTTTCTTAGCCTTACCTTAGGTCAACATAGGTGGATTCCATTATGCCTAAATTTATACTAAAAGAAGCAAAACCAACAGAGTTATTTACTCTCCAACTTACTCCATCAACTTCTGCTACTTCTTGCATCTGAGTAGTAGTCAAGAGAATTAGATTTCTGTTTGCATATTTATCCAAGGCACACTTGCATTTAAATGTGCCCTTATGGTCATGTCATGATTTCTTATTTCCCTCCTTCAGTATTATCAAGATGCTTGAGACTTTCCCTGTCCCTTTTTGTTCTTGGGTCAGCTACTACAAACATATGCAAATAAGCTTGGTGTAGACAGTTTGGGATAGGCCTCATCTGAGAATAGCCATTCTGAGGATTTAGCATTCTGTTGCCAAGAAACGTAATGTGGAAATAGTCTGCTTTTTTCCTGGTTCTTTGGAGTGCACAGTTTTACATGCCATCTTCATTGGATGTCCATTCTGAGTATGTCCGTGGGCTGTGGTTACTGTAATCCTTAATACATACATACATACATACATACATACACACACACACACACACACACACACACACACTTTGCCAAAACAGAGAGAATGTGTGAGCAACTTGGGTTCCTCTTGGGGTTCTCAGTTTTACATGCCATCTTCATTGGATGTCCATTCTGAGTATGTCCGTGGGCTGTGGTTACTGTAATCCTTAATACATACATACATACATACATACATACACACACACACACACACACACACACACACACACACTTTGCCAAAACAGAGAGAATGTGTGAGCAACTTGGGTTCCTCTTGGGGTTCCTCTTGGCAATAACGGCATGGGGCACAGGGATCCTTTCCTGGTCTTGCCCAGGAAGCTGTGTTTATCTGATGCTGGAACACATATTGACATTGAAAACATTTTTGCAGAATAAACTATCAGTGAAAGAATGAGTGAAGAATAAATAAATAGAAGTAAGCACTGGGCTTGGCATAAAGATTTCGGTATCTGGAAGCATCTTTGACACCTTTGAGAAAAGACGATTGAAAAGATATTGATTGCCCATTAGCCAAAATGAGGACACTAGGGTCACACTCCCAATGAGGTCTTTATTAATTTAGGACAGTGGACCGTGGAGACCTCTTTTGGAATCTGATGACAACTAAGAATTGCCTTTTTAGTAAAAACACATATTGAACATATACATATATTTTTTGGCATGTAATTTAATATTAAGGAGCTCAGATTTCATCCCTCCCCTATCTCATTCATAATCCCTAGGGTTAAGAACCCATAATTTAGATACATAGAATTTGATAGTAAAGTGACAGAATGGAGAATATACTGAGGCTAAGAACTAGACTTCAATTAGAGCTCTGTCTATCTGCTTCCCACTAGCTCTGTGAATATCATTTCGCTTCTCTAGGTTTGAGCTTTCTTGTGTGAAAAATGAAGAGGTAAGCATACTTCTATCCAAAGATTCATCTGGTATCAACATTTTAGAGAGAGGGAGCTGTCATATTCCACAGGAACATCACTACTTTCACTGAGCTTCCTCTGTGGGTTGTCTCCTTGGTACACATGCTTTCTTTGTACTTTGAAAAGAAGCCTTCTCTACTGGGTAGTTTCCTCTGAACCCCTGTGGTGCTAATTTTATTCTAGCTCAAAAATCCACCAGAGGCCCCAGCTCTCTGGCATGTCACTTCCTTTTTCTTGCATGGCACTCGCAGAGATACCAAAGAACACTTCAAATAGATCACCTGGGCAGAGGAGGGGGCAAATGAGAGGTGGGTTGTGGAGAACATACTGACACTGACTGTTCAGGTGAACTGATTCTAGCTCATTCACTTTCCTCTTTGTTTTCTCCTGGACTGGCGTGAAACAGAAATAAACAGTTGTAGCCACCACAGGGAGGAACTCTGCCATGTGTTGGTGCTGGCCATTCTCAGTTCTCTGCCAGTTAATCCAGTGTAGTGCTGATATAACATTTTCCTTTCCACTCTACATTCTTATAAACAAGAGGAGCTTTATGCTCTAATACCTGGTGCTTTTTTCATTTAGCACAAACTTAAAAGCAAATCAACTCAAAGGAATGTTCAAATGTCTTCAGACAAGCTAGGCATAGAAAGTGAGCAGTGCCGTCCCTCCCCACCCCCACCCCCACCAAGTGTTTATATCCCATTTTAAGTTTCATAGTCCATCCTCAATATTCAGGGCTTGCACCTCCCTTATAATTGTCCCATTAAGTGGTAATCCAGCATAATTTTGAATGCCATCATAAGACCAAGAATTAACAATCTTCCATGGTAACCTATTGCATTTTTATATAGCCCTAATCTTAGGCACTGATCTACTTTGTACCTTGAGCCTTAGTACTACTGTGTGAGGTTGACAAATTAAAAATAATGATTTTGAGTTCCTTCACTTTGCCTCAACTACTTCCCAAACAGCACCTCAGTCCTTGCAGCCGACTCACAACATCACTCAAACGTAACCTTTCTAAGGGCAGATTATGTTTAATCTTATTTGTTCATTTGTGTGTCCCCAGTCACTAGAACACTATATGGGCAATATTAGGCACTCAATAAATATTTTCTGAATTTAAAGATATTTACTGTTGTCATCTTCATTTTACAGATGAAGAACAGAGATTCACAGAGGTCAAACAAACACTGCTACAAGCTGCAGGGATACTTTAATAGGATCCAAAGGAATAAAGCCATTATGAGGAGGGTACCATTTATATTCAAGAGGCTTTGCCTCACACCACACCCCCAAGACAGCTCGTTATCCAATCTGTTCTTGTGAAGGACAAAGCCAAGGTCTGTTGCTGGGGCTGGAGGAAGGTAGATGTCACAGTCCTAGAATGCCACAAACAGTTGGGTGGTGATTATTTAAAATAAACAGGTTCTCAAGGGCTTTGTTTAGAACAGTATAGTGCATAAATAACTGCGGCCATGGAGAAGGGCTTCTGATCATCTCACCTCTAACTGAAAATGGAGGGGTGAAAGTAGTAGGAAAAGCAGAAGCCACACAAAGAAAAAAACACAAACTAAACAAAAGCAAAATTAATATTCCCCCAGTAAAAACAAAAATAAAAATGAAAACAAAAACCAACCAACCAATTAATCAAACAAGCAAAACCAATCCAACCCTAACATAAAACAAAAGCTGTGAGCTGGAACAATGGACAGGAATTTTCATGACAGTTTATCTTACATTTTCTCTGGAACGAACTTCTACTTCTTTTAGCCTGAGGAGTCCTCATGGTACTTGTTCGAACATTGCTGTATGTCTGAACAATACTGTCCTATTTCAAGTATCATTTTTCTCTCTTACAAACCCTAATTTCCCTTCGAATTTACATCTTCTGCTGAACTCCACTAAATGAGAGAATATCATTACTCGCACCTTGGTTTTTCTTATTTTTCTACTCAAGGCCAAGAAAGCCTAAGTATCACAGTATTTTAGTTGACCAGGAGAAATATTTTTGATGAATGGAATATTTTCTTTGGTAAACAAACACCAAGCCCCAAACCCCAACTTAAAACCAACCGAATAAGTTTCTTTGGTAAAGTGGACATTAATGTGTTGGTTGGAATTAAAAGAAAAATGTTAACTTGTTTGCTGGGATCATTCCTTCCCTTGTTATGGCAATTTAAAAAGCAAAACTTTATGAAGGCTTAAATTTTATGGAGTGTGATTTTGAGATACTTCTAAAGTGTCTTCTCCATGCTGGGGTTAAACTGATGCTGTCAGAGCAATAATCAATAATCAATATTAACAAATAAATAATTATCTAACAATAAATTATAAATCTTGGCATGCATAGTCCCCCAATAGAAAAATTCATTTCACAGTCATAATTTCATAAGCCTTGATTTCAAGTGCTGAAAAGAGAAGTTGACAAGTTTGAAAATGCCCTTCATTTAAAAATACAATATCTCAAGATACACAGAGACCCAATCAAGTTGGAAAACTACTATCTGTCATTACACAAAGTTCCATAGTAAGTCATTTTGGTTGACCAAATTTAATGATTAAATTCTGAACAAAATCCATTTAATTGGTGCATGTGTTGTGTCAGCTTTGTGGAGTCACTAAGCTGAGGTGTTCCACATGGATGACACTAAATCAATGGCTGATTTAGAACACACTGTTCAGAAAATGACTTAGCAATAGGTGATTTAAGAATAAAACCAATCCCCTCTTCAGCTGTGTTTTATAAATAATAGCCTAGTTGCAGGCCCATAGGAGAGAGAACTGATTGAACATCTAGTATGCAAACTTGCCCTTTAGAGAGGACTGTGCTTGTCCTCTGATGTAAAGCTCATTATCTTCTTGAGTGAATGACACATTGGTATGATCACTTAGTGTATCTGCAAGGGAGACTGAGCAAGTGTGTAATGCACTAGCTATGATCCCCTGCATAAGTATTCGAACTGTGTGGATAACAGCACATGAAATAGAAAGCACATATTTGCACTTGGTATAGTTATATCACAATCATATGGGCTTTTTTGCTATTAAGAAGGATAGTGACAAACCTAAATCCAAAACATTTGAATTCCAGACATTTAAAAACGTGTCTTCTTCATGGCCAATGAAGTCTGATGTTCTTACCTTAGAGATGTATTCTGAGGGGGTAATAGCAGTCTTATGAGAAAATCTAAAGTTGACTTTCCCTGTCTTAAGCATGCTAAAAGGATGGAACTCCTCTAGTGGTATGACCTGGGTAAGTTACTGTATTTTTCTAGGTCTGTTTCTCCTTCTGTGGAAGATGGGAAAGTAGCAGAGTATACCTGCTAAGGTCCAGAAAGGTAATATGCCTTTGGGAAATGCTTGGTACTATAGATGTCTAAAGAAGTTACATCTCTAAAAAGGAAATTTGTTGCAGATGTTTGTCTCAAATGTAACTCAGGGTTTGGCTTCATTTTTATGAATTTAAAGAAATATAGGAGTCTGAGGGCAGTATACATATCCTCTTCAGACCCGGCTGTTTTTGTTTACATCTACGAACCATTTCTCCTGTAGATACTACTGTTCAACAGTGTAAATATCTGGGCTTTTTAATGTACAGAAGGGCCTTCTGATGAAGTACAGAGACAGAAAAACAAAAGGTGTGTTGGGGGACCAGGAAGTTAAGGTACAGCCTGGTTAACAGGAAAATTTGACTGCTGGAATTGATAGGTTTGTGTTAGTGATTACTGTTTTCTAGTAATTTCCATCTAGTTTTCTTTAAGCCCTTTATCTCCCAGCAGCTCTACAAAGTTTCTCAATGCCAGGACTTAGATTTACCAAGTATTTTTATTTTCCCTACGAAGTCAATTAGAAGTCATCTCAGTGAAGACAGACTGGCACCAAAGGTTGGAAGCTTTGGCCAATAATCATTTTAGCATTCATTTTCCCCTTCAGCTATGTGTGGGCAGATGTTATTTCTGGGCATCCATGCAGAAGTACATGTAGGGCCAAACCACGAACAGCTGTACCAGCTGGCCATTCTATTTTGTTAATATAGAGACACTGTCTGTAGGTTCAAGGGGACACCTGCTTTTCCTCTAATATGCCAGACTCTTGGGCTTGGCTCTGTGGCTTTGCACCTTAGAGGTTCCTGTCAATAGCTGCAACTAATAAAGTACCCATTTGGTGACAAGTAACAAGATATTCTTAAAATATAATTGTCCCACTTCTATAATGCTGGAGCTGTCATTGATTTCTGGGTGCATTAACCAAATCATACAGATGTTAAATGTATTTCAGTGGAAGAATATGATAAATTCATTCTAGGAAAAAACCTTGCCTCACCCAGGTGAATTTGGGGGTGACTCAGTTTTAATTTGTGGATGATGCTCGGTCTACCACATCTGCTTTCAAGGCTCTGGCTTGCTTTTGCTGATCAGAACTTTCACAAGCATCTCCTTGGGTATTGAGGCATTAGATGAGAACCAAGACCTCAAACCACAGAACCTAAGTAGAGTTACTGCTCTGCAAAAGTTTTGGAAGCTTTGCTGTTTGAACAATGCTTAAAGTTATTTTTGCCATGGAAGCTGACCTTTCAATCAGTTGCTTTTTACAATACCAGTAACATCTGCCATGTGGATAAACAGGATCCTGCTTATTAATAAGCTTTCTTATATTTGATCTTAGCTTCAGATACTATCAATCGTGTGTGTGTATAAATTCCTTTTCCTAATAACCCTTTTGCTTTAAAGATTGCAAAGATGCCCTGCCCACTACCCCCTTGTCTTTTATATATTTTTTTGCAATGCCTGTTTCTTAACCTTTTTTCAAAAAGGAGCAACTTTGACTTTGTTTCATTAACATAAGCTTTTTGTTCTTGGTAAGACCTAGGGTGAAAATATATGAAGCAGATACTATCACACTGTGGTAATTTGGTCAACCACTCGGGTGCTATCAATATCTACCATTTCTACACACTCAATTTCCTCCCGGTTTTCAGGATTTTTCTTCTCTTTCCTTTTTTTCTTAGAGGGTGGCAGGAAAGTCAGTATCACAGGTAAAATGGCAAAGCAGTGAAAGAAGGTGACAAATGCTATTAAAAACAAGCACCTGAACAGTGTACAGGTCAGATTTGAAGGCACAGCTGCGAGAGGAAATAGACCAACAATATAGCAGAGGTAACTCTGTAAAATAGCTACCCCATGCACTTCCAGGGCATTTTTTACCCATTTAGTTCTTGTAAAATCCTTGCCCAGAACAAATGTGGATAACAGTGGAGCACAATTGTCAATCGTGTAGTTAATTCCATAAATTAAGCATAGCACGGAAATGCAGTCCAGTTCTACTTTCCATAATGTCATGAAACCTATTACTCCAAACTCCACTGACACAACTGTTAGAGTGATCCAGACATTGATCAGCGAATCTGCCACCAGGAATGCTGAGAAGAAGAGCAGGAACAAAGCACTGATGCAGGAGTTGTGCAGGGGGGCTCCCAGAGAGGAGGCATACCGATCCATGTACACAAACGACGGATTAAAGACAATGAACTTCACCTTGGAGGTGACAGAAAGTCTCCTCAGAGTCTCCAGGAGATCATAAAGTTCTTCTCTGTTTGTTTCCATGGTCTTGGCCACCAAAAACATTCTGGAGGCCACTACATCAACCTCATCATTGTATTTTTTAGAGAAGATGATGTCTTCTTGAAAGTGTGAAAATTGGGGAGCTTTCAGGAAGGAATTCCTCAACATGTCTGTGAAATTTTTCTTAGGCAAGTCAGTGGATACATTGAGTTTCCGAAGGTAATTTAAATAGCTTTCAAACCAGGATATCCGCACAAAACCCTTCGTGTATTCTAGAACATCTTCTTGGACACTAGAGTTCCAATATTCTATGGACTCATATATGTAAAACCCAATAACAGGACTGTAGTTGCTAAAGTACTTTTGCTGGGCAGTAGTGTACTCAATGGTTTGCGTTGCAGTTGCTACGATGTTACTAAGGTCTGACCCTTCACTGACCTGCAGATAGCCCATTAAGGCAAAGGAAATATAAATAAGGTAAAAGAGAACTACAAAAGGCTTGACATAGGTGTTGGTTATCCAGTCACAGTAATAGCGTTTGAGGAAACATACCAATAAGTGACTCTCGTAAGTGTTTGCTTCCTCGCCTTCAGCTGTTTCTTCACTGAATCTGGCTGTCAGAAGAAACCTGTACCATGCTGGCTTCTCCTGCAATACTTCAGGCTTTGGAACTTTTCTACAGAAGATACTATGCTGGTAATTGTTTTCTATGTAGCCAGTGAACACAAGGCTGGAGCCATAAAACGAGAGTACATAGAGGTAGTTGAAGAGGATTGCAATACAGGAATTGCAGCAGAAAATTCTGGCTGCCTCAATGTTTGTGAAAGGGCTGGCCCCTATGCCAAAGGTGACCAGGTACATGGCAGTGGTGAGAGAAAAAGAGAGCATGGAGTCTGCATAGACTGCTGCAGTTCGCTCTTTAACATGTTGGTCTTCTCTAGTTTTCCTCCACGAGGATAACATTTCAAAAGTCCCATATAATCCGTGACCTGAATAAGGAGAAAAAGACCAGACCTTTAAAAGAGGCATATCAACCTGATCATGGGGAAGTAATGGACCATGGGAAATACAGCAAATCCTAGGGATGACAGGTTGTAAACGCTAGTGATTTCTCCTAGGGAGAGATAGACCTGTGTTTTGGAGGGTAGTGAGCATTTATGGATAGTGCCCTCTAGGGTTGGTTTGGATAGGATAGGATTGGATAGGATAGGATTAGGATAGGATAGGATAGGATAGGATAGGATAGGATAGGATAGGATAGGATAGGATAGGATAGGATAGGATGTTCCCTTTTGGCCTAAAAAAGCTGGGTGGACTTTTGTCTATAGAAAGCTGAGTAAACTTAGGCCTCTGCCTCTTGGAAATTACATACATCAATAGCTTAGGGTTGTTTACAGTTTGGCTGGTGGAACACTCCAAAGAACACTCATGTTTGGACACTCATGATTTTGATTTCTATTCTCACAGTCTGGTTGGGGGTTCTCACAGAAGAAGGCAGTGGGCAATGGGTTCTGAGTCAGTGTTCAATTCCTTCTATTAAGACTGGTCAAGTATAGGGCTTTAGTGGGAAAGAGGCACCGCATTTAGTTTGAGTCTTAACAGGAAACTAAATCAGACTCTTTTTTTTTTCACAAAGTATCGAGGCAGGAAGTAATAAATCTGAGAAACAAAGGAAAGTAAAATAAGTAGGAACAAGTTTGAGTGGAGAATAAAGAAGGGATAAAAATATAGGAAGAATAAGATTTGTGGGAACCCTCCCTACTATTGTTAAAAATGACAAATTATGTTGAAGGTTTATGACTTGAATTTTGTCTTTAGGGATTTGTCTGGTTGCCCACAGGCAACATCAAATAGACAGTAACTCTCCTGCCTTCTTGGTATTATTTGGAAGTGGCTTCTGTGAAAGAGGACCAGGTTGATAACTTCTTCCTTTAATGACTGAGAGCTCCTGGCTCCCTGGTTAAGAGTCCAGCAACACTGGGGTTCACAGGTATAGTGAGTGCCCAGGTTCTAACTGCATTTTTCCTGGGAGTTCTGCCTTCTGCCATCTCTCCTGGTTGGAACGAGACACTTTCTCGATGTACCTCCCTGGGCTTCCAGGCCACCCCACCATTAGAAGCCTAACCAAAGCGACCTATTGCAGTTTTTGATAACCCTGGACTTAGCACTGGGATCAGAAGATCTAATTTTCTGCTTCCTCGCCTTAGCATATTCAATCCCATTATTGAGGATAATAAAATCTTTACCCTGTGGTAAAATAGTCTTGTTTTTAAAAAGGAATTTAAAATCTTCAGTCAAGCATAAAGTGAGTGAAGTGAGTCACCATTATCTTGTGTGTACAATAACTACGCACATGTCTTCCCTTGTGCCTAGACTGGTATTTATATCTGTATTGTGAAGTTCTGATTTCAAACTGAGTACCCATTTCATAGTAATGATACAGGCCTGTTTCCTCAGAAGAATTTGGCATTCATCTCAATTTACTAGGCATCATTTCACAGCTACTTTTAGAGGTCAGGTCAAGACTGTCAATTTGATTACTAGCACCATGGCCCCTATTAAACAGGAGGCACCCAAACTCCCCAGACATGAAGGAAAAAGTGCATTTGTTGACTGTTATCCTGCTGTTAATTATGTTTTATGTAGTTAACAATGTCTAGTCTCAAGAGGGAAAACGATTTATTAAATCCATTTCCACTGTATTCTCAGGATGAACCAGACAACCTTTGATTAAAAGCAAACTAGTCCTTGTCAATGAGTAAAAAGAAGACTAATATCTCTGAGGCATCAGCGTCCTGGAGGAATAATACTGACCATTTTACTGGGACCATGAAGAACAAGCAAGCTTTGGAAGGTAAAACATACTTCAAGAGGTTGATTAAAGTACAAATAGTTTTCTATGGTGGTTACTTGCTGGAAACAAAGATATTTTAAAACAAGACTTTAGTACTAAGTTATTAAATATGGTAAGAAACAAAGATCACATGGCAGAATTAGAATTAATCCTATGGCAGAATTTAAGTTAAAATTAAATATAACTGTCATTCCCACGTGGAAAAAATTAAATATAAATTAATAACCTTGGTGGGATGTTTTATAATGGCATTATCTGACTCTGACACATGTTGCACAATGTAATAAGACTCTGTTTCTGACCTTACTGTTGTTCGGGGATGAAAATAATTAAGCTCAAGGAAAGACGGAAGTATTGATAGCTTGTCTCTTGAGTTCTGTTGCTTTATTTTAAATGTCTACTAATTGCCTAGATTTTGATCTTTTTTATTGAGTCCTGATTTTATTTTGCATATGTTTTTGGTTCAAGGGGCACTTCCAAAGAGAATTTTAATTTTATTCTTAGGGGCTCTTGGAAGCAAAACCTTTCCTTCGTGTGTGTGTGTGTGTGTGTGTGTGTGTGTGTGTGTGTGTGCGTGCCCTCACAGAGGCCAGATTAGACAATGAAGAGAGTATTCTATCTGAGTGCTCACTTGTTCCTAGTTATCAGTGGCTTTGCTAGCACTACTCCTGATAGGCTAGAATCTTCTTTCTCAAGCCATACCTCTCTGTCGGATGCCAATACCCAAATTGGAAGCACCCTCTGGATTTCTGGAATAATTGCTGATGCCATAACTGTGCCTCTTTTCTGTGGATCAGTAAGCCAAGGGAGAAATAAGTGCCAAGAGAGCTATGGGCAACTCTTAGGGATTTGTTAGCAGCCCGGAGTGCCTAACTGGCACTAGACCCACCTTACAGCTGGGTATCTATGCTTAAGATGTCAATCTATTACCGTAAATGAAAGCCAAACTGTGGAGACCCCTGTTTTCTGGCTTACAATCAAAGGAGAAGCATATTCTGAGAGCCCTTAGACATGAGGAACACCCTGCTCCCTACAGTTTGCCTTAACTCCGCTCTGCCCAGAATTGCAGTTTAATTCCCTTTGCTTTTGGCCTGTAAAGGTATCGCTTAATTGCAAACTCCTCTAGGACAGTGGTCTACTAAAGCAGCTCCCCTTGGTTTTTGGAATCTGGGACAGAGAATGGGGTTGCTGATTGAGTAGCTAGGAGAATTCACAAACAGTAATTTCTTTTCATTTACCCTCCATCCAGTCCTGCCTTTATCTTTTACTGCCAGTTTAGAAATCGGGCAAGTCAGAGTTAAGGGAAAGCAGGGAAGAAAGATATTGGTAGGATGTTCCATTACACTTTCCTCTCTCACATGGTGGGTCCCTTCTCTAGTATCATCATTATCCACAGCCCTCTGAACTTTAGAGCTAGAGCCCAGCTGGCAGGACTTGGAGACCCAAGAGGCCCAATCTTCCTTTTTTTTCTGGTCTTTTTGAAACAGGGGCTCCCCAGCTGGCCTGGAACTCACTATGTAGACCAGACTGGCCTAGATTTCACAGAGATCCACCTGCCTCTGCCTCTGGAGTGTTGCAATTAAAGGTGTGCACCACCATGCTTGGCTAAAAGCCAAATCTTATACGGTATAGCCCAACTTACTGCATGTGGACTGAAGATACTCTTCTGAGGACTATTATTTTCCTCATTTTAAAAAAAGATGCTTTAAGAACAGAAGTACTGATATCGCTTTGTATTAATGTGCCATAACTACTTTCGTAGGTAATAAACAACCTTGAAGGCTTTGGCTATACCTCAGAAAAGAGCCTTGGTGAGAGTGAAATTTGTGAGTTTTCCTGAAAGTTACCCTAAGCAACTGGAGGATTAGCACACGCACACGCGCACACACACACACACACACACACACAAATAAATAAATAAATAAATAAATAAATAAATAAATGTAATTAAAAATTGTCTTTTTTAAAATAGCTCTTTGTGAGTTTGAGGCCAGCCTGGTCTACATAGTGAGTTCCAGGACAGCTGGGGCTACAGGGAGACCCTGTCTCAAAAAGACAAAAAAATTGTCTTTGAAGTGGGAGTTCTATAAGCAAATATATTCACAAAGACTCTGGTAACAAAGTTAACTTGAGTGACCACAGGGATGTTATCTAAACATGAAGTTCCAAAAACATCATGACTTTGGCGACTAGGGGCTCCATAGTGGTAATAGGAGTAATGTCTCATTATCAAAGGGACATATCATAACCTGAGACCTGTACTGTATAATAGTGAGGATTTCAGGAATGCTTCTCATACAGTCAAAGCAGAATGCTAAAGACTTACTAAAGGGAAATGTGAAATGGAACAACTTAATTCTATCAAATTTTGAAGATAGAGGCTTTTGAAACATTTGCTTGTCTTTTCAAAGCATGCTCAAGATATATTTATATTTTTGTTATGTTGCATGTCTATTGTTATGTCCATGCTGGGCACATGCATATGAGTATGTGTCAACACACACACACACACACACACACACACACACACACACACACACACATGCACACTTGTACATACAGACACACTCAGAAATCTAAGTTCTAATTATTCCTAAGTGACTGCTTTGATGTGACATATGACTGTAGTCAGGCCCTGGGCTAAGGAAAGTAGAGCTCTTTACCAAGGCTCACACACCATTTGTTCCAGGAGTATGGTTCTCAAAGGCAAGCTGCTTTTTATTACCAACAGACTTTAGGCCTGTCATCTAGTAAAATCAACCTCTAAAAGATTTGAGCTAATAATTTTTCTTCTTTTTCAAGCATTATTTTTTGTGTCTGTATGTACAGTGAACTTTCAGGATTTTGAACTAAGGAAGAAAGAAAACAGCACAGATGATGAATAACCCCAATGGTGGAAGAAACTCAACTAGCTAATCCTCCAGTCACTTAGTGGGACTTTCAGGCATATTCACAGATTAAATCTCACTCTCACTCAGGCTTTTTTTCTGGGGACTAGCCAAAGCCTTCAGGGTTGTTTATAATCTACCAAGGCAAGAATTCACTAACAAATAGTTGAGAGTTAACATAACTTTACCCAGTATATATGCTTCTAGAAAAGTTTTATGAAGTGATTCATGTTTTAAATGATTTAAT